CGGGGCCGGAGGCCGCAGAAAGAAAAGCCATCCTGTCTGTGTCTAGTGTGTCACACCGCCCCGAGGGGGGACACGCTTCTCACAGCGAAGGCGTGCGCGTGTGCCTGGGCTGCAGGCCTCCAGGAGATGGGCGCAGGGAAGTCTCACCCCACCCCCAGTCCGCTGCGTGCAGGGCAATGGGCAGGGCCAGCTGCTGCCTGCAGCCCCACTCAGCCCTCAGGGCTGCTGGCTGACTCAGAGTGGGGCATCCGCACTGCGCCTGAAGCCAGGGAGCGCAGGATGGCCTAGATTAGTTCCAATCCAGTGCAGAACATTCTAGAAGATTGAAGCCACTGTCAGCTTGGATTCACTGGACCCTCAAAGAACAAAAACTCCAAAGAAGGCTACACAAGACTCCTTGGACCTGCTCCAACCCATCCTCAGCCCATCAGATATATCCCCCTCTCCCATCCTGGCCACGAACTCCCAAAAGTTGAAATGGGGTTCACACACTTAGAAATTTTGCCAAATTAGTGCTTATCAGAATTTTAAAAATCTCTCCTTAGCTCCTCAGTCCTGAAGCCCTGAAGTTATCACGATTCAAGTCTAAGTGCGTGGGAGGGTCTTGTGTGTGCTGCTGCGGAGGTGGGCGTGCTCAGGAGCCCCCCCCCCCCCCCCCCCCCGCGGCTCGCAGCACCATAAGGAGCTGCCAGTGTACCGTGAGTCCTCTGTCTCTATAACACCCGCCCAATCCCGCAGTCTCACCCCAGATGTGTTCTAACGTCATACACACTGTCAGCTTCCAACGCCAGACAACCAGCCGGAACTGCGTGCTTCCCCTCCACAGAAGGCGCCACGCTCGGCTCTGCGTGGGGCACACGCCTTTCCCGGCAGCGACTGGGACACCTGCTATAGAGACAACCAGTCGCTTTACACACCAGTCGCTCCAGGAGCAGAAACTCACACAGATTCTCAGAAGTCCCTGGCGTCAGGCCGGCCTGGACCCAGGGGGACGGCTGCTGCCAATGTCCCCGGGACAGGACTGTGGGCCCGTGTTCCACTGCCTTTGGCACAGCTCGTCCACGTGGCTTCTCCACTGAACCGAGGGGTGGGGCCCGTTCACCAGCAGCTCCGGAGCAGCCAGCAATCAACCGGGCGGCCGGAAGGACATCCATCCAGGGCTTTGTCCAACTGCCCCTCCACACTCACTCTTGGTCATTACTCGATGAAACAAGGGAAGCAGGAGCCAGTGGAGATAGTCACTAGTGAGGCTTGTTTTGTGCCTATTTGGCAGCAGAACGCATCCCCAAGAACTGACAACAGAGGCCGTGGGGGACAGCATTCCTGAGCTCAGCGTGGCCCGACACAGCAGAAGTGACGCTTGCTCAGGGCAACCACAGGAGCCCCGGGTACTGGGCCCGGCACACAGGTGTGAGGCAGACAGCCCAGCGGAGCGGAGGAGGGCGCCATCAGAACCAGCGCCCACACTGCTCTCTATCAGGCCTGGAACTCTTGGGGTGGCATCTTGCCCGACTCTATTACAACGCTGTCCATTACCCACGCCCCTGCGTGCGTCTACTCCCCAGGTTGTGCTTCCTGGGTAGACTTCCGGTAGCACTTTCCTGGTGGACTTGCCCAGGGGAGTGGGTCAGTTGAATTAAATTTTGCCCAGACAACTACCGTCAAACTTTTTTCATTAAAAACATACAGCACAGAACATTAGTCTTACCTCTTTCTTAGTCTTAAAAAATAGAAATTTAGAGGGATCGTTTGTACAGGATGTATCGGTATGTATACCTTTACTGTGCACGTGAGAAAGCAGACAAGTTTACAAAACCTGCACTTTACAAACACTTTCCTCCTGGGGCTCTGGACCAAGGCAGCTGCCTGAGTTCCTGTGCGGGCGCCCGTCTGCTGGGAGGAACCGATCCCCCTGACATGGTGCAGCATCAGGAGAGGCAGCTGCCTGAGTCCCTGTGCGGGCACCGGTCTGCCGGGAGGAACCGATCCTCCTGACACGATCGGTATGTATACCTTTACTGTGCACGTGAGAAAGCAGACAAGTTTACAAAACCTGCACTTTACAAACACTTTCCTCCTGGGGCTCTGGACCAAGGCAGCTGCCTGAGTTCCTGTGCGGGCGCCCGTCTGCTGGGAGGAACCGATCCCCCTGACATGGTGCAGCATCAGGAGAGGCAGCTGCCTGAGTTCCTGTGCGGGCGCCCGTCTGCTGGGAGGAACCGATCCCCCTGACATGGTGCAGCATCAGGAGAGGCAGCTGCCTGAGTTCCTGTGCGGGCGCCCGTCTGCTGGGAGGAACCGATCCTCCTGACACAGTGCAGCGTCAGGAGAGGCAGCCGGCAGGTCACGAGCTCCTCTCCACCGGCTGCTGCAGGCAGAGCTCGCTTCCGGCGGAGACGATGGGCAGCCTGTTCGCCAGGTGGTGGTTGATGAGGTGGCTGATGCTGTCAAAGGTCCTGTCCCTCGTCCTGATCTGTGAAGGGCACGGAGGGAAGTCAGCATCACCCACAGGCAGAAATGAAAGCGCAGGCCCTGCTTGGTGTCAGCCAGGCCATCTGAACTGGAGGGTCACTTCCTCCCTCTCGGAGATGGTCTGCAAGGCCCCTGGTCACTGTCGCCATCTGAACTGGAGGGTCACTTCCTCCCTCTCAGAGATGCTCTGCAAGGTCACTGTTGCTGGCCAGTCTATTCAGTCTGCTCATCTATCCACCCCTCCGGGACTGAGCCATGGCCTCCCCCACCTTTGGCAACCAGGCGCCATGGTGAGCTCCCCTGCCCCCTGCCAGCCTTCTCTTCCCTGCTCCCTCCTGCCCTCATAGGATCCATCACAGAAACCTCTGTCTGCATGGCTCACTGAGGTCTGCAGGCGTCCATGCCCCTCCCACCTGCAGGCCTTTGCATGGCAGTCCCTGGGCCCAACCCCTCACCACCACCCTCCTACCCATCCCCCCCCCCCCACACCCCCCACCGCAACACACACACACACACACACACTGAGCTGGCACTTCCAGGTACAGACCTCACCTGAAGAAGGCCGTATGAGGCCTGGCCAAGAGCAATCTCTCAATATATACTCTGGACACAGCCCACTGGGTCTGCTCCTCTGAGAGGGAGTTGGAGATAGGGCAGGAAGTGGGTACCTGGCTCCACCATTCACTCTCCAGGCCCTTAGAGGGCCCTCATGGTGGGGCTGGGAGGCCTGGGTGCCCAACCTGTCTCTCTACCCTATTGCTGGGAACCCCCCCCTTCCTGGTGGCAACCTGCTGTCTCTCACCCCTCTCCTTTCCCCAAGTTCGTAATCTCTCCCCTTCCCTAGGTAGCCACTGTCTCCCCCTTCATCATCTCACCAACGGGACATTGCTCTCTGGTTTTCAGCCCCCATCTCACTTCCGCCCCAAATCTATGCTCCAGGCGCGCACATCAGACACCCCTGTCCAGGCCGTCTGCTCTACCAATTAGCGGCCAAAGGAACTTTAAATTAGGATGTTCTCACCTCCTGGGATCCAATTCTGAGGCGGGCCCCTCCGCACCCATCTCTGTAAGCACCAGAGGCAGAGACCTCCCAGGCCACAGGGTCACCTGACTCTTGGGCATTAGCCTCAGTAGAGATGTAATCTCATGGACACATTCGGAAAGGGACCTTTCTGTAGGACTTCTGGCATCTTTCCATTGAGGTTCAGCCCTCCTGGAGCTCCTAGAATTCCCCGCCCAGAGGGACCACCTGAGTGACATGGGCAGACCCTTCCTTGGAAGCCAGGAACGTCAGGAGCTCAGTTTGAAGCTAGTGTTGTCAGCATGTTGCCTTGACATTGACTTCTTATTCCTACTTCTTAACAATTAACACTCATGTAAGTCTGGGGCAATGAGGGTGGTTTAAGGACGATTATGACAGGAAGTGTCTGAGACAGTGGTCTCAACCTGGGCTCATGTCAAAATCACCCAAGGAGCTTTGCTAACTCCATACTCAGACCGACTGTATCAGGAACTGGAGGTGGGGCCCAGGCACTGATGTATTTTATGCTACATCCATGATTCTAACTTGCTACCCAAACTGAGGACCAGTGATCAGTGCTTTGGAATATATGGCCTGGCTAATATAAAGGCACACTTAAACAAAGGCACAGAAAAGAGATAAGTCATAAATTCACCGCATTTTTTTAAAAAAAGGCCAGTTCACTTCATTCTCATGAATATTTACCCAAACCTGAGTCTGGCTCCTGCCCAGAGAACCTGGAACCCACAGAGCTATCTGTGTGGACCCAACTGCCATGTGCCCGAAGTGCAAGGGCTGGTTAAGAGCACTTAGCCACCCAGGCAAACTTCCCCAGGTACCTAGAAGGATTCTGCTGCAGCTATGACATGTGGAATGCTACCCCAGACAGCTGTGTGAAACTCTGCATAGCAACCAGGAAGCAAACATGAAAGCCATAGGAGACCAGAATAAATATGCATATGTTGGAAGAAAAAGATCTGAAGTCAATAATCTAAACTTCCACCTTGGGAAACTAGAAAAAAAAAAGCAAATTAAGTCCAAAGTAAATAGAGGAAACAAATAATAAAGGTTAGAGCAGAAATCAATGAAATTGAAATGAGAAACCAATAGAGAAAACTAACGATCCGTAAAGTCAGTTTTCAGAAGAGATAAACTCAACAAGCCTTCAGGCAAACTAAGGAAAAGAGAGGACACAAACTATCAATACCAGAAATGAAAAAGAGGGTCATCACTATAGATCTCATGGGCGTTAAAAGGATAATACTAAAATTTAAAAAATGACGGCATAGTAAGTGGATGCTGCACAGACACGCTCCCAGAACCAAACTGGAATTACAACTAAAATACAGAAAGGCTTCCAAGTACGGAAAATGGAGACTGCATAGAGACTGGCAGGAGGGGCAGAGGTGCAAAAGGGCTGGTTGGGCTCCCACTGACAGCAACTGAAGTTCCGGAGAGATATCTCAGCTGTGGGGGTGCCACTGAGAACTCTGGGGTCTAATCCCCAAGCTGGGCCCCCCCAACAGAGAGCACCAGAACTGAGAAGGGTGCCCACATAACATCTGGCTGTGATAAGCAGCAGGGTTGCTGTCTGCCCGGGAGAGAGCTAGAAATTCAGGTGCCCTTTTAAAGGGCCAACACACAAAATTCCCTGTGTAGCCACTCATCTTGTGCTCTGGCAGAGGGAGAGTAGAGTGGACTGGAGCTGTGCGAACAGAAGCCAGGATTGGGGCACTGGGGGTTAGAGATCAGAAGGCAGACACATCAGTTTCCTATGCTGAGTCATTCCCTCAGACCATTGAGGTCATCTTTCTCATGCAGACATTTATTATACAGGTGGCTTCACCTGTGGGGGAGGAGGGGAAGGCAGCTGACCCACCCTATTGGAAAACGCCTTGCTCCATAGTGTAGTCTCCAAGGCCCATTAAGAGACTGAGAATAACAATTAGCCTCCAGGCAGAAGCAATTTCACCACCTTGTTGAAAAAACTGTCATCACACCTGTGGATCATTGCCTGAGGGCAATTCAAAACAGAATCCTATCATTTTTGTAGGCAGAGATGGTCTCTGGCTATGAGTCTTTACCTGAGCTAATTAGTCAGAAACAGCATTTGACACTGTCCTGTACTAGATATTGAGAGGTGTAGCAGATCCATCTAATACATAGTCACAAACCCAAATAGAAAGCCAAAACGAGGAGACAAAGAAACAACCCCCAAATGAAAGAACAAGAGAATTCTCCAGAAAAGGAGATAAATAGAATGGAGATAAGAAATTTATCAGACATAGAGTTCAGACTAATGATGGTAAAGATGTTCAACAGCAAGAGAATAAAATATAGTAACTATGAAAGCAGAAATAAAGAATGACATAGCATAAATAGAGAACATATTAGAAGGAATACATAGCAGATTAGGGGAAGCTGAGGATCGAATCAGTGAATTAGAAGACAGGGCTGAAAAAAACACTCAACCAGAGAACCAAAAAGAAAAAAACAATTAAAAACAGGAGGACAGCTTAAGGGAGCTGTGGGACAGCATGAAACATAACAATATTACTTTAAAGGCAGCAAGAGAAAAGCAAACTGTTACCCACAAAGGATTTCCCATAAGGCTGACACCTGATTTCTCATCAGAAACTCTACAGGCCAGAAGGAAATGGCATGAAGTACTCAATATAATAGAAAACAAGGATCTGAGATCAAGATTACTATATCCAGCAAGGCTGTCATTCTAAATAGATGGTAAAATAAAGAAATTCCTGGACAAAAATACATACAGGAGTACATCACTACTAAGTCAGCATTATAAGAATGCTAAAGGAACTGCTGTAATGAGAAGAAAGAGAGAGAAGCCTAGGCATACAGAATTAAAATGGCAATAATTATGGACCTATCAATAATAACCTTAAGTGTAAATGGATTAAATTCTCCAGTCAAAAGACATAGGGAGCTGAATGGATACAAAAACATGACCCAACTATATGCTTCATACAAGAGACCAACCTCAGAACAAAAGACACACACAGGATGAGAATGAAGGGATGGAAAAAATTTTCCATGCAAATGAAAACGGAAAAAAAAAAAAAAGCTAGAGTAGCAATACTCATATCTGACAAAATAGACTTCAAAATGAAGGCCATCACAAGAGACAACAAAGCTCACTACATAATACTAAAGGGATCGATCCAACAGGAGGATATAATCCAGGTACGCATATATGCACCCAATAAAGGAGCACCTAAATATATAAAAAAACTTCTAGAGGACTTTAAGGGAGAGATTGACAACAATACAGTCATAGTAGGGGACTTTAAAACCCCTCTGACTTCACTGGATAGGTCTTCCAGACAAAAATTTAACATAGAAAGAGTGACTCTAAAGGACACACTGGATCAGATGGATTTAATTGACATTTATAGAACATTTCACCCCAAAGCTGCAGAATATACATTCTTCTCAAGTGCACATGGATCATTCACAAAGATAGACCACTTGTTAGGACACAAAACAAGTACCTACAAGTTCAAGAGTGAAATCATATCAAGCATCTTCTTTGATCACAGTTGAATGAAATTAGAAATCAACTACAGTGAAAACACCCCAAAATATTCAAACACAAGTTATTAAACAATGAATGGATTGCCAACAAGATTAAGAAAGAAATAAAAAACATCCTGGAAACAAATGAATACACAACAAATCAAAATCTCTGGGACACAAAAAATGCAGTCCTGAGAGGGAAGTTCATAGTACTACAAGCCTACCTTAAAAATTAACAATAAACTATTCAACCGTACAACTTAAGGAATTAGAAAGAGAGCAACCAAAAAGCCCAGAGTAAGTGGAGGAAGGAAATAATAAAGATGAGAGCAGAAATAAAAGACATAGCAACTAAAAAAACAATACAAAAAAAATCAATGAAACCAAGAGCTGGTTCTTTGAAAGGATAAACAAGGTTGATGAACCATTAGCCAGACTCA